TTCTCCCCCCAATCCTCCCTCCCTCCCATCTCAATCCTTCTCCCCATCTCCCATTTCATTCCTCCCCCTACCTGACACTGGCGGTGGGCGCGCGGGCCGGGGCGCGAGGGAGCACTCTCTGTGTGCTTCCTCTTCAGCTCCCTCGCGCGCCGCGTACTGATGCCGGAGCCGGAAGATGACGTCATCTTCCGGCTCCGGCATCAGTACGGTGCGCGAGGGAGCTGAAGAGGAAGCACACAGAGAGTGCTCCCTCGCGCGCCGGCCCGCCGGTTGGCTTTCAGGGCCAGCCTCTGGGGGGCCCTGAGGTGACCGGCTGCTGGGCCCCCCAGGAGAAGAGGCTGGCCCTGTGGGTACATACCGGGGTCGCAGGGCCCCCTGCGACCCGGTATGTACCCACTGAATGTGGGGCCCGGACGACCTGAGCAGTCCGGGCCCCCCAGGACCGCCGGGCCCATGACAACCGTTACGGTTGTCATGCCCTGATGGCAGCCCTGCGCACGGTGCTGGAATTAAGGTGTTTTGATTTCTTTTAAGGGGACTGAGGGAGGGCAAGCCACCTAAATGGTGGGTTTAACACTATAGAGTCAGGAATACATGTTTGTGTTCCTGGCCCTATAGTGTTCCTTTAAGTATCTCTTGACTCCAATTCTTTGGACGGTTTTAAACTATTTATACGTTGTGTGCCAGTAGCAGCCATACACCGGTTGCACAATAATAGGTATGGCTTCCAGGCTCTTGTACTCTGCCTGGGGGAAAGATGGTGTCAAGTGTAGTCTAAAAGGTCAGTTTGTTTGGGATTATGAGTTAAAACGAATGTATGTAAAATGCATTTTGAGTAATTGAACTTACTTGATAAGATAGGAGAATTTAAATTTGAAAGTATTGATGCAAATTCTGTATACATTTTAAATGGATAATCTAAGCCCCAAATAACTTTAGCTAACACCAAAAACAACCTAACTCAATGTTTAGGTGACAGGCCACACCTTAAAAACAAAGTGCGGCAGCAGCGCTGGAAAAAATATACACTTACCCCTCAATTGTTGTAGGGGTTGATATATATGTAAAAAATAAATAATAAAGCCAACAATAGTGTATTATTGCAAACAAAGTGTAAACGCACAATGAGGCGAGTGGAATAAAACTTACATCATGAGCATGAAGGTTCAGCTCCAGTAAAGTTGTGTTTATTGACCACAAAACAAAGAGAATCACTGTTTTGATCTGAGCAGCTTTGTCACACAAAAGTATAGTTTATGGTACATATTAATTGTACACTGATTACATTTACACATTTTTCGTCAGTTCAAAAAGAAATATGAAGAAGCGTATTTAGCATGGATAGTTTGCAGGTTCTTTGAGAGAGAACTGTCTCACTGATTGTTGCTGGTTGTCATGTTTTATAATGTTTGCCTTTTATGGAGGACTAGGAAATATAAACACCAGTTTGTGTTTCTGTCGACGTGCCAGTAGTTATTTAACATTGAATTCTGCTGTTTGTTAATTAGGTGGAAAGGCATCAAACCGACTGTCGCCATTCTCTCGCGAGGAATTTCCAACCCTGCAGGCGGCTGGGGACCAGGACAAGAGTGGGCACGACCAGGGCACCTCCGCTGTGTCGTATGGGCCCGGACCAAGCCTCCGCCCCCAAAGTGGGTCTTTATTTAATTTTTTATAAATGTTGCACTCTACCTATTGAAAACCGTGTTTTTTTTTTTCACTGTAATACAGTGGATGTGATGTCCATTGTCTCTGTAGCGCAGTACATGATATCCTGTGTTTCTGTTGTGCAGTGTATCTGATGTTCAGTGTGTTGGTGTTCCGTGAAGCAGAGTGCGTAACATTGTGTGTTCATGTCATTGTAGTGCTCTATTGTTTTATATTTTTTGACTTGTTTTGTTTTGTTCAATTTCTCTACATTTATTTTTCACCACAGATGCAACGAACTGGAGGGACGGGGGTGGGAGGGGTGGGCTTGCTCCGGGCTCCATGGATGGTGAAAACCGCGAACTCCTAGCAGATGCGGCTCACCCACCCAACTGTGAGCCGGCCCCCCGTCCAGGGCTGCCTGGCCCCACACCCCAACAGTTCCCTCCATACCGGGGGATGCTGGCACCATTTGTAAGTAACATGTAGCATTCATTCGCTTGCATTTTCTTTCTTTTCTTCCACTACAGTTTTACTTACATTTTTATGAATGTAACTTTATTTTTAAACTAATTCTTCCTTCCTTTCCTCTTGCTTTGTGTGTTTCTCTTTTTATTGTATGTTCCAGATGTATCCCCCATACCTGCCATTCCCTCCTCCTTATGGGCCACAGGGTGCTTTCCGTTTCCATGGACCGGATGCTCCCAGGTAACATTATTAGTCATTTAAAATCTGTTCTGCATTTGTAGATATAAACATGTCAGAAGAAACCGTTTTCCTCCCCTGTAATCAGATTGTTGGGGAAGGGGGAGCAAGGCTTGACAGCACTGATGGCATTATTTGGGGTTTGTACATGGTGGCAGCCAGTTGCTTCCATTTTGGTTGATCCCATTATACAACACTGCAAAATATGTTGATGCTCTTAAGTAATCCAAGTAGTAGACTCCTGGTATTTAACATGACATTGTATATTACAGCATTGCTTAGGTGGTTCTAAAGTATTTTTAATATGTTACTTTAACATATCTTATCTGGAACTCATGCTAGAGGAATACATGATTGACCTTTATCTCCCCTGAATCCTTAACCAGTCCCCCCAGGGCAACATGCCACAAATTAGTAGCATAAAGCAGTTGGTAATAACTCGTTAATATTGTCATGACATAAAGCTATCTTGGTGGGATTCTTTGGAATGTACTGTGGTTAAAGATGTCTATTCTTCGATGGCTTTAGGTTCCCACGACTGGCCCCTCCTCGTGCCCCTCACACAGCTCCCAGGATGCCTGATCCTGTGAATCGCCCATCCATTTTAAAGCAAGATGATCTGAAAGAATTTGATGAACTTGAACAGGAAGCGGATGATGGATGGGCAGGTGAGGGAATGGTGTATTTTCAAGGATATATGTCATTGTATCTATACATGTGAAAGGTGCTTGCTTAATTTTGTCTGTCTTGTAACAGGGGCTCACGAAGAGGTGGATTACACAGAAAAGCTGAAATTCAGCGATGATGAGGACGGGAAAGATACAGACACTGAAGAGAAAAGGTTGGTGTTTTTTTGTTTGCATTCTTTTGTTTTTCCACCTGTTTTCTTTGGTCTCTCATCAATCATTCCTCCAGGTCTGTCAGTAGTTTGTTTTGGTTCATTTGTTTCTGCATTAAAGGGCTGAAAATATTTGTACTTGTACTAAAAACGTACAACCTTTATTATTTACTCAGGGACTTTACAGACCCGAAAACTGAACAGGCGTCTGCCCCTCCGCCACAGAAGGTGGTCGAACCTTCAGATGCACGGAAGGGTACTCCCACAGAGGAGAAGCCTCCTTCTGCTAAGGCAGCCTGGACAGAGGTGCCCAGAGCACCAGAACCCATACAAGCGCCTGTCCCAACTGCCCCACCCGCTCAGAGGGGTGTGTCTTCACAACGTGGGCCGCAGCCTGAACACAAGGTAATTGCCATGTGTTGTGAATGTTGTACATTCTACGTTTGAAAACCGAATAATTGCTCCAGTGTACTGCAGACACATCTGGGTAAATTCAGGACAGTTACTGTTAATACTTGGCTTTCTTGTGTTTGTTGAACATGCTCCTCTGATTATCAGCCAGACCTGTACCTTTTAAAGCTCTAGATCAGGGCTATCTAACTGGTGGCCCACCAGGCTTTGTCCATTAAATATTTTTTAACATAGTTTTATTAAATGGCACTGACTCTTCTGTTGTTGGTGTTTTGTAGAAGCAGTGACAGCTGTGTATCCAGCAAGCTTGTTTCTTGCTGCATTCAGAATGAGAAAGGTTATTAGTGAGTGTTGGTGGTGGGATGTCACATCCATTCCATTTACTTTACAGGCTCCTCTCACTCAACGTATGGCTGTGTGAGGAAAGGGCATATGTAGGTTGTAAGATAAGGAAGTGTAATATGCTGCAAGCCGAAAAATATCAAATAGTGATTTATATGTCCTATATATCACACCCTCGGTGGTTTATGAACTAGCCTGACTGAGGAGAGAAATGGACATAAATAAGAATTGGAGAAGCAAGAGGAGAAAATGGTGGGGTAATGGAGAATGATTTGTGAAAAGTGACCATTTTTAAATATGCTTTTCTCCCAGGAGAAGCAGACTGCACCCCCACCAGTAGTGGAAGATGAAGACGAGGCATGGCGACAGCGTAGGAAGCAATCTTCCTCTGAAATCTCACAGGCAGTGGAACGTGCAAGGAGAAGGAGAGAGGAAGAAGAGCGCAGGATGGAGGAAGAGAGGCGCGCCGCATGTGCTGAGAAGCTGAAACGCCTGGATATGAAGAGGCGGCCTGCTCCAGAGGAGCCTGAAGCAGCTCCGAGAGCGCGAAGTGTAGGTGCAGAAGAGGCCGAGCAGCGCAGTCAGACTCCTCCAGGTAATGATGTTACAGAACCCGTTAAGTATGTGTATCTAATAAACTCTGTTTAACGTAGTCTAATCCTTGGAGAGAGAGAGCCTTATTGCTGACATGTCTCTGTGTGAAAAGCTGCTAGCACATGCTGTATACCTGCACATTTACTTTCCTGTCTGAAATGAACAAAGGATTTGAACATTTTACTTTGAAATAGCTGAGGAAAATATTTTCACTATGGATATGTTGCCCAAGAGGGTAGGCAACTTTTGGCACTCCAGATGTTGTGGACTACATCTCCCATAATACTCTTCCTGTTATAATCCTGGCAAAGCATCAGGGGAGATGAAGCTCACACCACCTGGAAGTTGAAGGTTGACAACCCTTGTCATTACTTAGAAATTTCAGCTTTTGTGAGTAAACCTGTGTGAATTAAAAAACAAGGTATAGTAGTAATCCCAACATCTCCCCTTTTCTCCCTCATTAGTTATGGAAACCCCACCTGCTGTTGTGACTGTGCCGCAGCCTGCAGTTGTTCCTATACCTCCAGAATCTCCTCCAGTGAAGGTAGAGCCAGCCTCCCCTTCCCAAGCAGACATTAAACCGGAGCCAGCCCCACCAACCAGTCGCCCACCCCCTGCAGGGCCGTCGCAGGTGGGATACAGTAAATTTCAGAAGAGCCTGCCTCCTCGATTTCAGCGCCAGCAGCAGGTACAGTATAGGTTTGCTGTGGGATTATCAGCAAGGACCTGATGGAATTTAGATGTAAATAAATTAACCAATATATCTCTAAATACTCTTATAATCTGGGTTATTCACTAAAGCAACATTATTGTGAATTAACAAAGTAGTTGCAAAGTTAAGGAAAAATTAAAGCTGAAAAATGGCTCACTTGGAGAAATGGATTTCTCTCTATTTCTTGCACACAGTTTGGCAAGTATCTGTAATTCCAGGCTATTTTAAATAAACAGCTTTTGATCTAAGTGTTGGTATCTGAAACTGAACCATATGGCCAGCCGAGATATGTTTTATAGAATTGCGAAATGTAACCTCCAATAACAGAGGTGTTGCTATTCCATTATGTTGACTTTGGTGCAGTTTATATTTGTAAAATGTGGACAAAGTCCAGTCAGACCAAGCTGTGATTCTGACATGTAAACATTCTTTGACTCCTTCCCTGGTAGAAAATGCTAAGCCAGAGGGGAAACGTTGATGTTCTATTGCCCTGCACAGATTTCCAGTTAGCTTTTATTTTCATTTACTTCTAGCTAGATATTGTTGGTAACATTTCCTGCATTTTAGTTACCCTGTCTGCACCTTTATTATTTTTACTTCCTTTTAAACGGCTATTATTTAATATTATTTTGCAGTGTCATGGTGCAAGAGTGAAACTTTGTTGTTCCTTTAGAAAAAAGGGGAAAAAATGTATGTTGCCAAACATACACAGAGTTATTTACTAAAATGAGAATTCACAGTGCATTTCAAATTTAAGACCAGAGTAGCCAAACCGAGAGAATTCTTTATAGGTTGGCTATTTTTTTACATGAAAGGGACAGTATAGTCACCAGAACAACTACAGCATAATGTGGAAGAAAATATGTGAGGGGAAAAACGTCTCCATAGTAAGGACGGAGTCTCCCTGGATATTAATGTAGTATCCTGAATGGACGAGGGATCAATGTAGTGATATTAAAGGACCACTATAGTGCCAGGAAAACAAACTCCTTCTCCTGGCACTACATAGTCCTAAGGTCCCCTCCCACTTACCTTAATCCAGCACGGGCTCCCTCGGCACTGGTGACCTCTCCCCCAAGTGGAGATAACTCAATGCTTTCCTATGGACGTTCTGTGTGCTCAGTGTAATTTTCGCATTCAGCTTCGCAGAAGCGCCACTAGAGGCTGGATTAACCATGCAATGTAAACATAGCAGTTTCTCGGAAACTGCTATGTTTACAGCTTTAGTGTTAAAACCTGGGGGACCTGGCACTCAGACCACTTCATTGAGCTGAAGTTGTCTGGGTGACGATAGTGGTCCTTTAAGAGTAACACCACCAATGCGGGAATTAAGATTAATAGTTAATCATGTGCTATAAATGTCTATATATATCAAGCCTTGTAAGGCTATCCTCTGCCTCTTACAATAGTCCAATGACCAAAGGAAATACTGATTCTAATAAAAAAACAATCAGCAAATAACTGGCTTTATTGTTGGTGTCTAACTTAGGCTGAGAAGGAAGGAAGAAGTAGGTTCTAGTAAGATATAGTACTGGGAGGGTAACAGTATACAGATGCTGATTATCCTCTGTAAATCAATAGTTAGGAAATATATATATATATAGCTTGAATAATATTCACAGGGAGCTCGTTTGGCTAATAGTATGTCCACTGGCTCACTTTTAAAGAAAATTGCACCTAATAAGCACAAAGCAGCCAGCCCCATCGATCAATATGATCACTAGGGACCATGATGTATAGGATAGATAGAAGATAAGAACAGCCTGTCTCCCTTTAAATCTTACTAGACAGGTAGAGGAAAAAAGTGAAAATGTTAGAGGTTTATTAAAGCATCATGTCGCTAGGCATGTTGGAGATAACCAGACATGTCAAACAAATACAAAATGTAAGAAATAAAGTTTAAAAACCGGCAAACAACCCGACGTGCGTTTAGGTGCTAAGGTAGATGCACCTTTGTCAGGGGAAAAAGGGTGAGTTCTGGTGAGTATAGTCAGTCTTTCAGAGAAAATTTTACATTACAGCCTAGGAACACTTCTAGTAGTCACTCCTCAGATGACCAATAGATGTGCTTCCTGGGTCAGCGCTGCACAGTATGCAGCACTGACGCTCGGCATGGAGATGCTGAACCTTTCCCATAGAGATACATTAATTCAGTGCATCTCTATGAGGAGATGCTGATTCGTCAGGGCGGCATTTTGACAATCTCAGCCAGTCCAATGGGAAAGCATTTTGATTAGCTGAGATCATCAATGCTGATGATGTCAGCCAAGGAGGTGGATCGGAGTGGGGCCAGACACGAGGTGCCTCAGGCGTAGCTGAATTAAAGGTCAGTAGATCACCCTTCTAACCAGGGATAAGGGGGCCAACTAGCTAAACGGTGGTTTTAGAACTATAGTGTCAGGAATACACAGTAGTGTTCTTGACACTATAGTTGCCCCTTTAAATTTTAAATCAACTTTGAATTCTCACTTTAGTTAATAACCCTGACAGTGTTATTCACTGAAGTTTAAATTGTTAGTGGGTTTGAGTATTTTGCCCTAAAATGCAGAGCTCTTGACAGTTCACACTTAAGTGGATAGCTCTGTTAAATCAGTCTTAATTTATTTCAGTTTTTATTTAGTGCTATTTCTAATTATGATGTAACTCTTGCAGCAAATGATTCACTTTTTAACAGTACAGTTATTATTACTAATTCATAAAATAATTATATATTTTTCAATTTGTTAATCAATATGCTTTTTTTGTTTCATTACTTATAATGCACATGTTTTACATCCCTGAATGGGTTTGTGCTAAAGGCGGAAGATGAAGCTTTGTGATTCAGAGGCTCAAAATAAGATTGACTATACTCAGTCTCTTTTATTCTTGTTTAGGAAATCAGACTTTGTATTAACCCCCCAATAAAGCTAAGCCATTTTAAATTAGCACATTCAGGACTGAACTCCAATTTTTTAAATTGATGCTCTTTAAGTAGGTATATTAGGTATATTGCAATGTTGAGACATACAGGGCTGGTCTCACATTTTCTAAAATATAGACACATCCTCTACTCCCCTTTAGGAGCAACTGATGAAACAGTGGCAACAGAGCAGGGAGCCAACCCCTCCTTCTCCTTCTGGACCGTCTCCAACTTCTCACCCACCACCAGCGCCTTCCCAGCAGCCTCTTCAAAAAAACATTTATGGTGGAGGAGGTTCTCTAGGTCGGACTACTCCTGTACCTGCTCCACAGCCTACAGCCCCCCTGCCACCTCCTCATGTGAGCTATGACCCTCGCTGGGTAATGGTGCCACCTTTCATTGACCCACGCCTCATGCAGGGGAGGCCCCTGGACTATTATACCCCAACCGCAGGGGTACATCCAACAGGTAAGTGTAAGGGGAAAGGAAATGCATTCTTTTAAAAGATTATGGAGTGTATGAGTTGGAAAGATGTTGTAGAAATAAACTTTAATTTTGACACACATCGGCTCTGTATTCAAACGAGCATGAATTTAGCAGGGGCTACCCGATGGACAGTGTGAGGAATCGGTTTATGCAGGTGCTATCTTTCTGTAAATCACAATTTATTCTTGTAATATTTGAGTTTTTGTCACTCTTTAAATTCTAGGGCTGATGTCCCGGGAGCGTTCGGACAGTGGAGGTTCTGGGTCAGATGGCTATGAGCGTCACCCGCCACTTATCAGGGAGCGTGGAACTCCTCCGACTGACCCCAAAATTATATGGGGTGGTGAGATGTATAATCCTCCTGAGGCAAGACCTCTTGCATCTCCTCTGCGGCCTAATCCAGAAGAGGAGGGAAGGGACATTAGGTAAGCAGTACTAAGGGTGATAGAAATTAAAGAGATACAAACCTTTTTATCTTTTTCTGCCCATGCAGCCTTAGCCATACCTCCTCTGGCTGTGACTCACACAGCCTGCATGGAAAAAATAGTTTCATTTTTCAATCAGTTGTTAACTTATCTGCTGCTTTGTAAATTGAACTTGAAATCACACACAGGAGGCTCCTGCAGGGTCTATGACTGAGGTTATAGTACGTGAGAAAAAATTATAAATTAAAAAGAATTTGTGATAAAGGAAGTTTAAACATTATATATCTATACAGGAAGTGTTTCAATGCCTAAATGGCAAAGAATTGAGCAGTGAGACTGCATTGGCTTGATCTATACATCAAAACTGCTTTATTAAGTTATTTTGGTGCCTGTAGTATCCCTTTAAGCATTGGAAGGCAATTAACTACTAGATACAGAACCTCAGTAGTAATACTGCTGTTTAATTATTACAGAGTGCTAAAACTATTCTTACTCTGAAATAGTTGAGCTTTTTAAAACAAAGTAAAAATTATCTATGTTATTTCTCACCATTATGGAATGCACAATACCACAACACATTTCACTTTTATTCTTTCAGGAGTGAAACTCCCCCAATTCGCACTCTTCCTCCACAACATCCGCAGTCTTCCACATACCTGGGAAATTACTCTTACCCAGAAAATGCTGCTGCGGCTACTCAGCAGCCACATGTTGGACATGGACATCGCTACACTTTGGATGAACAACGCACCTGGCATCAGCAACAAAATCATGCTGCTCCACAGCATCCCACATCTACTCCAACTGCTGAGCAGAGACGCCCTGAGGTGGTACCATCTCCATCTCCAGCCCCTGCACCTATCTCCCAGCCTCGACCAGTGGATGATGAACCAGTCATACTTCGGAGAGAGGTTTCCATTCCTGCTTCTCAGCCAGAGGCAGCTTCCAAACCTGAGGCTTGCAATGCACGACACAAGGAAGACAGGAAAGAAATTGCTAAGGAAGAACCAGTGACAGAGAGACAAACTGGGAGACATGAGAGACAAGGCGGTCGCCCAGATTATCACAAGCCGATACCACGCCGTGAGTCCAAGACTGAAACACGCTGGGGTCCAAGGCCTGGAGGTGGAGGAAACCGAAAACAAGAGGAACCTGCTACTGTTGGAGGTGGTTCTTCTCAAACACCTTCCCAACGCCGAGTAGGCCCCATAAAAAGAGCAGTAAAGCGAGAGGAGACTGTAGCCACTGAGCGTCACGAAGGTAGAATTACTCAAGCACCACCAGCTGCTTCAGAGCCACAAAAACCTAAACAAGTTGGCCAGCCTTCCCGGGAAGGAGAACCTGCAGCAGTATCTCCCTCGCGTAGAAGGAAAGAAACAACTCCGTTGATGCCTGCGAGGGGCTCTCCTGCCTTGTCTTCAGTGTCCCGGGGCCGTGGAAGAGGGGAATACTTTGCTCGAGGAAGGGGATTCCGTGGGGCATATAGTGGACGGGGACGGGGAGGTAGGGGCAGAAGCCGAGAGTTTCGGGGTGGCTACCGTAGGGAGAGCCCCTTTTACAGAGAAGATGGTGATGTTGAGAGCAAATCTATACGTGACCCAGGAGGCCGGGAACGTAATGCTAGTGAAACCCGGAGTGAGGGCTCAGAGTATGAAGAGGTGCCCAAAAGAAGGCGGCAGCGTGGGTCTGAGACTGGTAGTGAGACTGAGCCAGCTGCGTCTGAAAAAGAAGTGGGAAAAGTAGGACTGCAACACCATCATCAACAGAATGAGGTTTTGGTATCCAACCATCAGCGCCATCCAGATAAAGGTAGAGATTCTGGCAGGGGTCGTACCTTTACACCTAGGGGGGTGCCATCAAGAAGAGGCCGAGGAGGAGCACCTATGGTTTCTGTAGCATGGAATCCTCACCCTAAGCATCAGCCCGCACAACCTCAACTTCCTCCTACCCAGCCGCCACCTCAGCCACATAAACTAGAGAGGAAAAATGAAAAGGTGCTGGTCAGTGAAGGACCTCCTGTTTCCAACGAGGAACGTCCACCACCACCACCCAGGAGGCGACGTCACCATGGAAGATCTCAACAGCAAGATAAACCTCCCCGATTCCGTAGACTGAAACAGGAGAGAGAGAATGCTGCCCGAGCAGGGAATGGAGGAGGGCAGCAGCCACCGCCAACACAGCAACAGCTCACGCAGGAGCAGCACCAACGTCCTGCTCAAAATGAGGAGGATCGTATAATTGTTCGCAGAGGGCATAAATCGCCCGAGCCATGTAATGCCAATTCCGATCAGGCTAATGAAGAGTGGGAGACAGCTTCTGAGAGCAGTGACTTCACAGAAAAAAAGGAGAGAGGTGAGGTTCTTCAGAATGGAGGCAGCATTACTACTTCAACCATTATAGGAGGAGGAAGAGATCAAAGGAAGGATTTATCAAAAAGAAGCTTCTCCAGCCAAAGGCCAGTTATGGAAAGGCAGAACCGCAGACCCATGCATCCAGCCGGGCCAAGAACAGGCCGTGGGGGAGGAGGTGGCGGTAAAAGTGGAGAAAAAAGAAACTGGCCTTCTCCTAGAAATAGGGGGTAAGTTATCATTTGGCAAACCACTGCAGTTTTGTCAGCTATATGTTCTCTTTTAGCAAAGCGTGATTAAAACCAATCATTATCATGTTTTAAGGGGAAGGACAAATGAAGACCGCCCTCCACCTTCAGTTCCTCTGTCACATTCTGCTTCCAGCACTAGCGCTGTGTATCGTGTAGACCGGGTCATCCACAGCAACCCAGTGGGCATACAGCAGGCACTGAATGAACTTGGACAGAGACACAACAAACCTGCCCCTGCAAACAATAACATGGATTCCTCTGGAGGGCGCTGTCAACAACGAGCAGGTTAGAGACAACTTTGTGTTGTTTGTGACTTAGGGCAATGAGCAAACAGAGTGTGACCGGGAGACTGAGGGCAATGAGCAAACAGTGTGTGACCGGGAGACTGAGGGCAATGAGCAAACAGAGTGTGACCGGGAGACTGAGGGCAATGAGCAGTGTGACCGGGAGACTGAGGGCAATGAGCAAACGGAGTGTGACTGAGGGCAATGAGCAAACGAAGTGTGACCGGGAGACTGAGGGCAATGAGCAAACGGAGTGTGACCGGGAGACTGAGGGCAATGAGCAAATGGAGTGTGACTGAGGGCAATGAGCAAACAGTGTGACCGGGGGACTGAGGGCAATGAGCAAACAGAGTGTGACCGGGAGGCTGAGGGCAATGAGCAAACAGAGTGTGACTGAGGGCAATGAGCAAACAGTGTGACCGGGAGACTGAGGGCAATGAGCAAACAGAGTGTGACCGGGAGACTGAGGGCAACTTAGTAAAGGAGTAAAGCAGACCTGGGAACTGAGAACAACGAGCAAACTGAGTGTGACTGAGGGCAATGAGCAAACAGAGTGTGACCGGGAGACTGAGGGCAACTTCGTAAAGGAGTAAAGCAGACCTGGGAACTGAGAACAACGAGCAAACTGAGTGTGACAGATATGTGGTCTCGGGACAGAGAGGAAAGGGTGTGTGAGCACTAAGGGCAACAAGCATATGTAGTGTGACAGATCTCAGGACATTGGGCAAACTGAGTTAGAGACATTTGAACTAGATCTATTAAGCAGGTTGCTCTCTTTCAGACTCTCTCCTTGATACTCGCCATGAATCCGTAAATGAAACATTTGCTGTACCATTACCAAAACGCGCAACGCGGCCTCGGAGAAGCAGAGATATAGCACCAGAGGTAAGGTTGCTGTGCAGTCCAAATATGAATATAGTGTAAATGGTGTTACACGGCATTATTGTGCATAACGCGTATATCGGCTTTATTTTGAGTCTGTTGCACAGTATTGTAGTGTAATGGTCTTATTACAAGTTACTGCTGAGCATTGTTTTTCAACATTGTTCTACAGTTCTATATTGAATAGGTGCTGTTCTGTGTTATGCTGATGTAACTGCTTCTGTTACGCATAATAGTAGTGTAAATGATACACAAAGGGTTTTCTGTCTGTCTTTTACATACATGAATTTTCCCCTCTTCTAGAATGTGCACTTTTCTGGAGCACCTGTTAGCAGCAGGCGCTGGCAAGAGTCGGTTACACGGAATCACCACCCAGAAACCCTTGCTCCACGTGTCTGGAGCAGAGATCAGAGCAGTAAGTCTGTCACTAGATGATGGGTGTGGTTAAAGTAATTCTGGATTGTGGCTTATAATGTGATTTAACGTTCCTTACCTAATTGACTTGGTTCCATTTGATGTTGTATAAGTGTGTTCTCTGTGATATGTTTAGTACAGTCACCATGAATTATGCATGGATTTATTTCTTTCTCTTATTACAATATCCCTTATCCCTCGTTCAAAAGTTTTTCTCCTTTTCTCAGATGATCGAGGGAAGTTGGGTCCATCTTACTCCATGGAGCCATGGATGGAGCCTCTGACTGGCTATGAAGATCCTATAAACACAGAGGTAAACAAGGGGGCAGGAGTTTGGGAGCAGGCAACATTGGTTTGTTTTTTTAGTGAAACTAGCATTGTGTGCAATAGTTCATTGCATCCTGTCTAGAGCCTTTATTTCTGAGAGCAGACTTTGCCCTACCTGTAGGTATAATTGGTGATACTGCACGTTTTAAAGACGGCTGGCTGTGTTGATCACTGAATGTGCCCTGTATAAATGTGACGAGATCAAAAATCTAAGTCTCATTTTTTTCCTTTTTTCCCCTCCATCTTAAGATGAGTCAATCAGACAGCGGAGTTGATCTCAGCAGTGATTCCCAGCTCTCTTCCAGCAGTTGCAGCCAACGTAGCTCCCCTGATGGTGGGATGAAACCTGAAGGAGGGAAGAGATCTGGACACCCAGTGTCCACTGGGCAATCACAACAGGGACACCCCCAAGTAAGGCATCTAGTTCTGTCAGTGTGTCCACCCCACTTCTCACTTTCTATGTCTTTCTGTTCTCCATGTTCACTGTCCTCTGTGTTCATCCTTCCTAGGTGATGGTTCCTCCCCCTGATCCAATTGGAATGGAGCGTGCCCAGAAGCCCATGGCAGAAGGTCCTCTTGGACCTAGTGCTCCCTCTTGCCTTCCATCTGCTCCACACTCCCCCAGTCCTCAGGTGAATAACAATCACATCTCAAATTCGGTCTCCTTTTTGCTTTCAATGCTGCATCTAACCCTGTCTTCCTCCCCTTATTTCCTTTAGCTAGTAATTTATACTCCCTCTTTCTTTTATGAAAGGAGCCCTGTCACCCAGCTGACAGCACGAAGTATGGCAGAGAAAAGCAAGGTGGTTCTAGTCAGCAGTCATGTATGGTGAGAGGAACATGTTTTATTTCCATTCTGGACTTTCTCCTCCTTGCCTTACTGGCCATTTAGCTTTCTGCTAGTCCTCCCCTTCTTTCTGTCTAATATGGACTCCTGCTTTCTCTCTTCCTGTCACAGCCTGTCCTGTACTATCAGAAATTTCCCTTCTCTCACATCTGTAGCAACTATTTCACTATTCTGATTGTATAACATCATACAATTGTTTTATAATTTTCGTATCTTATATGTCTGCTTTCTCTGTAGTTATCATACTGCTAACTAGTCCTGTCTGCCCACAGACTTCCATCCCTTGTTATCAGGCCAAATTATTTTCTGCATCATTTGCATGGCTTCTGGCTTTGCCAAATTCTCTGCAACAAAACACAGCCTGTGCCCCTAAATCACTTTTCCTTTTATCACTCTAAAAGGTCAAGGTTTTTTTCTGTATTCCATCCATTATTAAAGTAACACTTTAAGCACCATAACCACTCATCCCAGAGCTTAGCAGTACCCTGAGAGCGCTTGGGTGATGCTCTCTTCAAATAAGCAACGTTCTGCTTAGCTCTGGATGGAAGTCTGTAGTCAAGTTATCAAAGCGTACTAAAACAAGTTGGCAAATTATATTTTACTGCTTTAGCAGACAATAGGGGTTATGATGCTTGGACTATTACTTTAACCCAGACTGTCCTCATGTTTACATTGATCTCTCTCTGACTAGTATGAGCATCGTATGACTTGGTCCTCTATCAATAAAGAACATAACTTAAAAGCTGTTGAATATGTTTGTGGGTTTAGTCTTCCATATATGTCATTTATGCATTGACCAGCACTCTGCACTTCATTATACAGGCCTGATTGGATGTATGAAAGATGAATGCAGTGGTCACATTCTTCATTGTCTTTTCCAGGTGGCCTCCTCTCCTCGCACATGGGATATTCCTCCTCAATTAGCTACAGCTGAGCACCAGATGGACCACCGACAACTGGCTCTCTCACCCAGCCACCCAGAAGGCTCGAGACACCCATTACCAGGTATGGAATTTTATAGTGTGTGTGTGTGTGTGTATATATATATATATATATATAGAGAGAGAGAGAGAGAGAGAGAGAGAGAGAGAGAGAGAGAGAGAGAGATATCTTCAATGTGTTGTGAAAATCCCAATAAAATCCATTTTAGTTCCAGTCAATAACACTACAAAATGTACAGAACAGAGAGAAATATTTTCAGGCGTCCTTCTTTTGCAGAAACCTAAAAGGGGAAATTCCACCGAATCTGTTATTCCACTGTCTCCTATTGACATGAGACCACGAGTGATTACCGTATATATTCGACTATAAGCTGAATTTTTCGGCACATTTTTTGTGCTGAAAAACCCCCACTCATCTTATACTCGAGTCAGTGTCTGTATTATGGCAACTTACATTGCCATAATACAGACCAGGACCGCCGGGCTCATTACAAGCCAGGCGGTCCTGTTGGGGGCTGGCAGCGAGCTGTAACTTACCTTTCCTGTCAGCTCCCTTCTCCTCCATGCAGCTCTCCTGTCAGCACCCTTCTCCTGCGTTTCATTCAGCTCCCCTGTCAGCTCCCACTGTAAGTCTCGCGAGAGCTGCGGGGTTAGAGCCGTGGCAATGCTCCGCGCGGCAGTCACACCGCAAGACTTACAGTGGGAGCTGACCGGAACACAGGAGAAGGGAGCTGACAGGGGAGCTGCAGGAAAGGTAAGTTACAGCTCGCTGCTAGCCCCCTTATATTAAATTTAAATAATAAAACATTTAATTATATTAAAATAAAAATATTAAACTTTTTTTAATATTAAAATAATAATAATGATAAAAAAAAAAAAAAATGCCCACCCCCACCAAAGTTACACACTCTGCATCACATACACACACTCTGCATCACATACACACACTCTGCATCACATACACACGCACTGCATTATATACACACGCACTGCATTATATACACACGCACTGCATTATATACACACGCACTGCATTATATACACACGCACTGCATTATATACACACGCACTCTGCATTATATACACACGCACTCTGCATTATATACACACGCACTCTCTCTGCATTATATACACACGCACTCTCTCTGCATTATATACACACACACTCTCTCTGCATTATACACACACACACTCTGCATTATATACACACACACTCTGCATTATATACACACACACACACTGCATTCGTCATATACACAAAATAAATATTCAATTAATGTAATTTTTTTGTGGATCTAATTTTATTTAGAAATTAACCAGTAGCTGCTGCATTTCCCACCCTAGTCTTATACTCGAGTCAATAAGTTTTCCCAGTTTTTTGGGGTAAAATTAGGAATCTCGACTTATATTCAGGTCGACTTATACTCGAGTATATACGGTATATAATGAGCAGAGCTCAAAACTTCAAGTCCTATGCCTACTAGCCAGGCCTGAAAGTTACTGGCCACTGCCAGCCTAGTCCTGGCACACTACATGCAAGTGGAAATTCTGAACCATGGAATTAAGAAGCCATGTTGTTTTCATTATATAATGCTGAGGCGTTTTCTGGTCATGGAGCAGGATTAACAACTCTGCACATATTTATAGGGAGAGCTGCTGAGTGCCTGTTGCCTAAATGTTTTAGTGCAGAGCGTATTTGATGCACAGTAGGTTGGGTTCTCTTTGATTCTGGTTTGGACATGCACTCAGACTCCATGAGTCTTAGTATTTCTGTTGCCGAAAAAGGCATTTTAATAGTTTGTATTTCCATCTTTCAGATGATCGCAGTCAGAGAATCTTTTCCAACCAGTACTACCAGGTATGTGATTATCTAATAAAGAGGGGAGCTTATTCTAAATCTGTGACGTTTGTGTTAATGGACCACTATAGACACCCAGACCACTTCAACTCAATGAAGTGATCTGGGTGCCAGGTCCTCCTAGTTTTAACCCTGCAGCTGAAAATATAGCAGTTTCAGAGGAACTGATATGTTTACACTGCAGGGTTAATCCAGCCTCCAGTGGCTGTCTCCCTGACAGCTGCTAAAAGGTTCTTCCGAGATTTACACTTAGTAAATCACACTTATTTGACGCTGGACAGCCTCACGGAGTCCAGCGTCAAATAAGATCTTCATTGGACAGCATTGAGTAATGCTTTCCTATGGGCGGATTTGAATGCGCGCGTGCCACTGGCCGCGCATGCGGCTCTCCTCGTAGTGTTTTCGTAGCACTATAGGATCCCTTTAAGTAAATTGGTTATTTATAAGAGGCCTTTCTTTCAGCTCGATCTTCATGTCACCACTACGGGCAATGGGTATAGACCTGGGACACCGTCTCTGCAGCAGTACAGGTATATGAGTTTCACCTTTCACTCTCTCCCCCCACATATTCCCCCTCCTCTCAATGTTATCTCTATTCTGTCTTTCTTATATCTAATACTTGATTATTTGTTGTTTTTGCGTATTACCCACATATCTCCATACTGTTTTTTTATTTTCTCAGATCCCAGCCTCTGTACCTGCACGCAGCTCCGTCCCCAGGCTCGTCACCTGCTCTGCTTCCTGGCTCTGCTGTCCTTTCTGGCATTGCCCTGAAAGGCCAGTATGTGGATTTCAGTGACCTGGCAAAGGTACCTGCAGGGAGCCTTCTGTACCCTGCGCCTGCGTTTCTCTACAGCGGCCATTACTGCCCTGCCCAGGTTAGCACGGACCAGCAGCAGCCGCTTATGCAGGTGAGACGGGATGAGAAATTAAGGACTTTTGGTTTATTATTATTATTATAATTATTGCTTGGCGTCTAATTACATGGCTGCTATGTGAGATGTAGTACTGTGTGTTTATATCCTAGACATCGATTTTAACATTGTTCCATAATAGGTTCATTGCAGTTTGTTTGTGTCTAATTATCTGAATTAAATTCTGACTTATATATTCTTTTCTCTTAGGTCAGACAGGATATGACCTCAGCCTCTGATTATTACTCTCCTTCCCTTCATCACACAGGGCAGGGAGGATATCTGCCGCCAGCTGCAACCCAACAGGTACTAAATTCTCGCTTAGTTAAGAGTCAGGATGAGCCTGTCAGGCATGAAAAGAAAGGTGATAGGAGAGACACAGATTTATGGTCATCTTAGCCCTGGGTTGTTACCATTGTGAGTCAGACATGTCTGCAGGCAAAGCAAAGTAGTAAATTTACAGGCAATATACTTCATACATGAGGGGCATTATCTACGGTGGTTAAGTAAATATGCCGGTATGCAAGTGACAGCTAGCGTCGAGCAGGATCCTGCTCTGCTACCAGTCTCTGTGTGAGGTCTGACTAGGGGAACCTGCCTAGAACAATTAAAAGAAATGGGCAGTGGGTCCTGTGACCTGTCTCCCTCTCTCCCAGCGCTGGAGCCCTCGGGCATCTGGCTTTAAGGTCCTCCGTTGAGGTAGTTATCTTGCTTGCGGCTCATAAGGCTCCGTGTTGTGGGAGTGGATGGTGAGGAGTCACAAGCCGCCGCCATCTTGCAGGATAGGCCTCGGATGTTTCTTGCACCCCAGTCACCTCACCCCTCATGCTCTCCCTAGTAGGGACCAGAATGACCCCCCGGCCAAAGAGGGGGAAACGGGACCGGCAAGCCGCTTTGGCAGTCGACGTGTGGCAGCCGGGGGGGAGGCCCCCTACCGAGTAGGATAATAATTACATACTCTCTAATCCTACCATTGTCAGCCTAAATCCAGTCTTCCAGAGAAATTGTAGTCTGTGCAAGCCCAGCTGGTCAATTTTATATTTAAAAAGTGGACTCTTTCAAATGGTGAAAAAATCACTATAACCACGCAATCTCTCTCTGCCATCTCCAACGTTCACATGATAAACAAACTGATGGTGATTTTAACCCCTTTGTTGTCTGTGTATATAGGGGCATGTATTGGTGTTCGATGCAGTGGAACAATCACTATCTGTGTGCCATTGATTAGCTACATACCAGCTATATTGGTTCTCCTTTTTGTAATATAGGTTGGACCTGCTGCTTTGAATGGTTTGGCAGGTTATATCCCAACCTATTGGGCTGGTGTGACAGCTTAGGCCTCTTAAGGCTCTTCTAGAGACAAAGCTCTCTTTGCTTGAAATCGTTGAGTTGGGATGCGGATGAACATGTTTTTTTTGGCGTCTGGAAATATTTATACCAATTCAGGCTTGCTTAGCTTAATAAAAAATATTTTTTAAAAAGTATAGCAATCTATTGGCGTGAGGACTATTACCGAGGTGTTAAAAAAAATCCACTGTTGTGCCTGTATCTTTAAAGAATGGCTCTCTGGCCCCCCACTCCTTCCCTATATCGCTGGTAAAAGTAGGGCTGAATTAAGTTAAGCGTGCCGGATATTTGGACATTGGGGGGGAAATGAAAATCTTTCTCATATTCCATGGTTTTATTTAGCTCTACCTAGTACTCTAGGCCCCCATTGGTCACCCTGGGAGACGTCTACTTTCTGGCCTGTTTTCTATGGTTCTTATTGCTGGCTTAGGCTGGCCCTGATAGGTATACTGAATTCCTGTAATAATTTTCATGCCCACAGAGAGTCAGATTCAGCTTTCCATAATAGCACAGAGAGCATGATCAAGCTCCTACTTTTCCACATTGCCGGTGTATGGATGAAAAGCCAGAACTCTGAACTAAACCTAACTGCCCTTGTCTGTAGGGTTAACTAGCCCAGTACTCCTACTCACAGGTTGGCAGCTGGAACCAGTCTGATGTGACTGCTGTTTCTTTTTTGATCACTGACATTTCTCTTGACTTTTATCATGTTTTTTTTTTCTGTTTTTCAGTTGCATGTTTTTGCCACTAGAAGGCATAATAGAATAACATTTGAATGAGATATTCCTAAATTGTGAGGGTTTATTTACGGAATACCACAGTGAATTGAATGCAAAGATTTCATCAAAAAGTGTAAACATTCTGCAGCCTTTTTGGGGTACAGTAAAACATGTTTTTTGCAGTGTGATTGTGTCACCTCTTTGTTGGACCCAATTGTTACTTGCATTATTGTGCCCAAGTGCATCATATTAAAACATGCAAAAATCTGGTTTTATTGCTTTACCTTTATCACGGACAGCGAGAGGTGCACTGATAATATATTCTGTATGTGTTTTGAAAGATAAATATGGGTTTGATCTCGAATCAGTTTTTTAGACCTCCCTGTTTAATTTATTTCTCTCCCTTGCAGGTTCTTCTCTCCATGGTGGACTCCTCCCTTCCAGTTATGGGATTTGGTTCTCTCTCTTCTGCACCACAGCAGCCTCCCCTTGTTCCCATGGGACAAGCAATGCAGCCTCTCCAGCAGGTGTCTGCTTCAGACAGATCCCAATCCCACCTGAGAAATGAGGTGAGTCCTTCCATTGTAGTTGCACTAGTAGTAGCTGTCATATATTAATATATGTGCTCCAGCCGTGGTATCAGTATCCATTATTTTAGTTTGTTTAACTCCGTATAAGCCAAATCTGACAGTTTATTATTATTTATAAAGTGCCAACAGCGCTGTACAATAGGTGGATTAAGAAACCTGTATTGTATTTGCAACAAGACAAGTTGGATGCACAGGAACAGAGGGGGCTCAGATCCCTGCTCAAACGAGCTTACATTCTACATTGTAAAATGAATGTTCATATTTGCAAGAACAATGTAAAGATCGTATATTAAATGCTCTAAAGTGCCACTGTGTCTTAAAAAATAAGAAAATTACACATTAATGTGCATTTGAATGCAAATCATGATACAGATGACACCGATAAGGAGGGGGAAGTAAGCGGATCTGTTTCATAATTATATGTCGCAGTTTCAGACACAGTCGCCTGATATAAAGCAGCCAGAGGATCACAGGAGGGCTGTGGGAGGAGCCGGACCTTGTATCCAATCATCAGGAGGAAGGTAATGGCAACCAATGGGGGCAGCAGGTTGTTCCCTTCTGAACCTTGGTTGTGATTGGAGTATAGGTGTTAGAGTACCTGTACACGTCTGTTCTCTCTGCACGGACAGGCACAGGACCCCTAAAACCAAACACTGTAACGCAGGATGTCATACAATGATAAATGCATGCCGCATAACTCTATAAAACAAGATCCTACTCTTCTGTATAAATCTTTGTAGAGACTTTAAAACATCCCATAATAACATCCCATAATAACACGTTTTCTAAACTCTGTATTTTGGTAACACAGTTATCTGCTTTGTCATGCCAGAACAGCTGATTTGATTTGGTTGATGCTGAGATTTTAATGATTTTTCACTAATGCTAAAGTGTTTTGTTTTTTCCATTTTAAAAAGGTCGAAATCTTCAAATTCAAACTATGGAATTGTCCGAAATCAACGTTTTGATGTGTATCAGCAGGTGGGTTTGATTTCCAAGGTTTGTGATTACGTGTAATTAAGGCTGGAAGTTCCAATATGGTTTTATTTTCATGTTGATGGAGAGCACCACTGTACTTTGTAAAATGTATACGCTGAAGGAAAGACGACCATTACAGTCACCCTGACTCTTTCATCTCATTTAAATGGTCGTGGTGTTGAAGTCCTGTCCTTTAGCTCTGCAATGTAAAACCTTTCTGTTTTGTTTTTTTTTTTGTTTGTTTTGGAAACCGCAAGGATTACATTGCAGGGTTAAATCCACCGCTAGTGGCGGTTTTCCTGAAACTTGATCCTAGAGAATGCTGCTAAATGGCACCATTTGATTGGAGGTGCGCTGCACATGCATTCTCCAATCCAATGCTTCTCTGTGAGAAGCACTGGATGAAACCATATCGCAGGTAATGTCAGCATGCATGTTGACAGTGGCAGATCTGGGGGCTGCAGCTTTGGAGTCTCAGCACGGGAAAAATAGTTATCTTTACTTAAATTACATTTTACAAAGCAAAGTGTGGTAGACAATGATCACATTGCTATTTTTGGGCCCATAGGTTCTCTTTACTCAAGGTGGTTATAAGTGAGCTGCCAGGATAGTAAATTTATTAGTCTCTGACTTTCCTACAAACTAAGTACTTCCATCAACAGGAAGTGAATGCATAAAGGGAAACATGGCATGTCTGTCAACTCTACTTGCACAAAGTCAAAGCAAAAATTAAGCAGAATTGTTAGACCTGTTGACTTTACAAAAAAATGAATTCCTACAGCTGTCTTGTGCGGGAATGGACGGCAGGAACGTACCCAGCTCTCTACTACAAATCCAATGATGTTTTGGAAGGTTGGCTCAGCGTCATGTTACTCATAGACCCATAATGCTCACCCCTGGCCTACTGATAAAATATTGTTTGGGGCAATAATTGCATTTTATGCTAATTGGGATTAATATACTTTTACTGATGGAGAAAGACATTAATCCCCTCGTCAATAAATGTAACCCTGGATTGGAATACTGGGCTGCAAATAGGATCTTCATGCTACCAACTTATTCATTTACTGTCTGGAACTGTTCCTGTGCTGCATAATACTCAGGTCTCAAAACTTCCACTAGCCATCGGTGAAAGTTACCCCTGGTGAGTATGCTATAGCTTGCAGGAGAGAGTAACTTTTATGGCCTGACTAATATCAAATTGTAATCCTTGATTTAATAATGATCTGCTTCCTCTAATTTCCCAGGCTCTACCTCCCGAAGCCTCACGCTGGACACTGAGATCTTGGGACAGACCACCGACTCGGGATGCTGAACCCCATAATGCCAGAGACGCTCAGAGCAGTTCCACCCCTGCCCCTCGAGACCCCTGATTTACCCTGCCACTTGATCCTTTAAAGTAGCCCGGCAAAATCAGACGTAATATTTTTTTCTCTTGGCAGAATTAATGGGAAACATTTGTGATGGGGAAATAGAAACTAGGGGGGGAGGGAAAGGGGTCTCCTGTCTGGTCGAACTGGCTTGAAATATTGTAATTCCCCATGATATATTAAAGTCCAGACTCTCACTGCTATATTTTCCTCCTCCCCTCTTTCAATACTCCTCTGCAACTTAATTTTTTTTTTTTCCTGCCCATTTTTTTTTCTGACAAATAAAGAATATTTTCTCCCATACATTCTGTTTATTTAAATGCAAACTAAAAGAAAGTATTAAATTGATCTCGCTAGTTCTTAACACACATATATATATATATATCTATATATATCTGTCTGTATACACAGACAGCAGAAATGTGAACAGATTATAAAAAGCTATATAGATATATGTATATACATAGGTATATCATTAACCATGTAAATCATGATTTCAATATAAATATATCATTAAAGAGCATTTAACTTATATTGGAAACAAAATCTTCCACTTTTTTTTATTTTACGTGCGTCATTTGTTTTTCTTAACCTTTCCTTCTAAATTAGGAAAAAAATTTGTTATGCAAGTGTTTCCCTGGTACGGTGCCATTATATGGATTGATATTTTGGGCATGCAACTCTGTGTAAGCTCACGCTATGGAGTCCTCAAGCATTCACTTACCTTATTTCCTCGTTGTGCTACCCTGCCCATGGTTGGCCCCTGCAGAGCAGATGTTTTCAGTTGCAGGGTTAAAATGGGGGGCACATTGCACCCAGATCACTTAACTGAAATGAAGTGGTCTGAGCACCTCTAGCGTTCCTTTTACTCAGAGATGGAGAATGCCTTCTCGTTTAGAATGAACATGATTTTACTTGAACTTGCACTTTTTTGTTTATGGTGCCATGGCACTACCCCAGTGTAATATTATAAACCTCTTTAGAATGGTTTGACCTGGGTCCCCCAAATGCTTGCACTGCATGGGATGCAGAATAACTGTCCAGGAGGCCTGGTTGATACAGGATCATGCTCATTGGCTGAGAGTTCAGCTGACACGTTAGGCCAATAAGTAGAGCAGGAGAATCCTGGAAGCAGTGTATTCAGCTCTAGGTGCCCAGCTGGACCCACGTAAGTTGCCAAATATTTTAAAATGGTATGACAAATCATACTAGGATAGTATCATGGTACCATAACCACTACAGCTTCCATTGGCTGTGGTGCTTGGAGTGTAATACCCGAGGGTATTGAACACATAATTTTAGTTATGTATTTTAGGAGCCTCCTGTAATCAACTGAAATCATCTTTAGCTCGTGACTGAGCGGTTATTGGCATTTTAGGTGAGATGCCCAGATTTAAGCCAACATGAGCAGCCTCATTTCATTGGGTTTTACTAGAATTCTCAGTTTACAGTTTAGGCCTAGCCATTGGTTTCTAGAGGCTTGTGGGTATTAAAGGATTCACAGTGAATAATGAAGAAGAGTACTGGAACTTAACCATGTATTACAATTGGTATTTGATATCCCCTGCAATTAGCAAACTCTAAATAATGGATCACAGCATTTAGGCCGGCACTAGAGCCACAGATCTGCTATCAATGACTTGCAGCCATTACCTAACTAATGATCCCTTTTAACCCTTTAAGTGTGGAGATTTATCACTTCTAAATTTTTCTTGTTTTATATCACACAGTAATGGTCCAAGGAATTTAACTGTAAGAAACTGCCTGCAGTTTGGTTAGAATACCTTTCACGGTCTAATTAGTCTCATGATTTGCAGCAGAGCAACACTCACCTAAAGAAGCATGAAGAGAAAGGTATCAGTGTCTGACCTGTACACAGGGTGATTACCATGGAAACGAGCAGAATCAGTGGGCTTGTTCCATTTGCAATTAGTGTGTGCTACTGGCCCCACTTTTCACATCAAAATTAGTTGGGAATAGTAAAACTACAGGTTTATTTTGTTGCTGTATCAATGTTTTCATGTTTAACCAGACCACTTTTCAATTTTCTTACCGTTAAGGACGAGAAATGTTTTTACATTTCTGCGGTGTTTGTGTTTAACTGTAATTTTCCTCTTACTCTTTTACCGTACCCACACATATTATTTACCATTTTTCTCGTCATTAAATGGTCTTTCTAAAGATACCATTATTTTCATCATATCATAATTTACTATAAAAAAATTATAAAATATGATGGAAAAAAATGTAAGAAACACACTTTTTTGAACTTTGACCCCCAAAATCTATTACGCATCTACAACTGCCCAAAACCACCCATGCTAAACCGTTTCTAAATTTTGTCCTGAGTTTAGAAATACCCAATGTTAACATGTTCTTAGCTGTTTTTTTTTTTTTTCCGAAAGTTATAGGGCTATAAGTACAAGTAGCACTTTGCTATTTCCAAACCATTTTCTTTTCAAAATTAACAAAAGTTACATTGTAACACTGATATCTCTCTGGAATCCCTGAATAACCCTTCACATGTATATATTTTTTTAAAAGACGACAACCTAAGGTATTAAACTTGGGGTATTTTGACTCTCTTCATGCAACCATTTAACCACCAATAACAACAAGCAAGGTGATAGACCGCGCCCCAAAAAGCAATAAGATACAGCAGAAATATATAACATAAAAAATATAATTACATCAGTTAGTTAAATCTACATACACTGAAGTAGGATGGTTTCTGTAACCTTGAAGGAAACAGAAATGGACCAAAAATAGTGCAATATGTAATAGTTATTTAATCTATGTGAGGTAGAAATAGTGTGCAAACTCACAATAGATAGAGCTGCTAAGAGCTCTGCTGTAATTCGCCGGGACGGTACAATCCCCATCTATGGATATTTGTAGCTTTGCTTGGTAGTTCTTTCCGTCCAGTGTATATAGGGGAAAATGTATTCATACTTACCCTAATTTTCTTTTCCTGGCTATTATTCATGGCAGCATTTAACATATGTGGGTAGCTCCTCCCTCCAGCCAATAGGACAGGAATACCAATTAAAGACTTCAATTATCCCTGAGGTATAAGAGATCCCAGAATACTAGGTTCCTAAGTCTAGTAGCAAGCTGATCCGCCAAAATAAAGGGGTGGGAAACCCAAATGCTGCCATGAATAATAGCCAGGAAAAGAAAATTACGGTAAGTATGAATAAATTTTCCCCTTTCCTGGGTAATCATGGCAGCATTTAACATATGGGAAATACCCAAGCAGTAAATACCACAGGGAGGGAATAGATGCCCAGAAATATTTATTTGCATTGAGAAGAGCAAGAATTTACAACCGAAAGTCCAAATTGCAGGTTAGAATCCAAAGAAATTCCGAGCTTGTAATGACTAATAAACGTCCTTATAGAAGACAAATTAGCTGCTTCGCAAATGCTCTCTGGTGATACTCCAGACTCTGCAGCCCATGAAGTGGCAATCAATCTGGTAGAGTGTGCCCTTATACCTTTTGGAACTGGAACTCCTCGGACATTATAAGCTCTTGAAATAGAGGAAACAGTCCAGGAACGGAGGGTAGACACAGAGGCTGCTTCACCCTTACGGGAGCCCCAAGGGACAAGAAAAAGTTGGGGAGACTTCCTCCAAGCCTTAGTCCGTTGAATGTAGACCAAAAGGCACCTCTTAAGGTCCAGCATGTGAAACTTTTCTTCCGTCTCATTTGACGGATTTTGAAAGTAGACTGGAAGAATAATTTCTTGATTTATGTGAAGAGGAGAAGACCACCTTAGGTAGAAATTCTGGTCTGGGACGGAGAATGACCCGGTCATGGTAGAAAGTGGTATAAGGTTTGTGACAAGACCAATCTCGCCACATTGCATTGGAGAAGCCTATTTGCCAGCCTCCTTCTACATGACTATGGCCCCTGGGAGATGGTAAAAACGTATACACTTTTATTGGGTGTGTATGGCCCTTTAAGACAGCCAGTGGGCATATTGTGGCTTATGGACTCTTTATGGGACTGGTGCTGGCCCTTTAAACACCTTTTTGGGACATCAGGAAGATTGGGACACTGCCCCTTTAAGACGGTGTCCCGAGACTTGTTTGGGACACTGCCCCTTTAAGACGGTGTCCCCAGACCTGGTTAAAACCTTTTGTGCCTGGCTATTTCCCACTTGGTTCAGTAAATGGGGCTTACTGAACCAAGTACCACACAGGCAGACCACCCAGAAGTGGAAGTGTGCAGGCAATTTACCTCCCAGAAGCTGTGGTTAACCGCAGCTTAATTGACAATGCTGGGTGGCCTTTGTTCGTTTGCAGAACACGTGGCGGCGGCCATCTTTGTTAATGCGAACGAGGTCAGCGGTATGTGTAGCCAAATTCATGGAACTAAAATCGGCTACACATTTCCGCGAACACCGCTGAGACCTACCTTCTCCACAATGATTTTACAGCCGCAGAGACTAAGTCCCAGTCGTTTTTTCAGCCTGAAATAGACCGACCGCACAGCCCAAATCTATGGAACTGTTTTGGGCAGGAAAATGTGCTTGCGGTCGGTCATAAAGGGACCTCCAACTAACTTTTTAACCCCTGGATGGATTTGTCTGATTTTTGGTTATGTTTATGTTTAAAGTGTGCTGATAATATGTAAGTTTTATTAATATTGGATGTATAGTTTTAAAGTTACAGTGTACGGATAAAAACTGTATTTTTACTGCCTGTGTTAATTATGTTAAACCATTGTGTAACATGATTATATTACAGGCAGAGGGGAGGATTTTTGTGTGTAATTGCTGGGAGTGTTTCTGTAATGTACGTTTATGATTGGTTGTTGTTGTGGGTGGTACTAATGTGTAAGAATGTGTATATGAGAATAATAAACCCACAGGTCTGTCTGTTCACTTCAGCTTTGTCTCGTTCTTGGGGGGGGTTTATTGTATGCTGTTCCAGTTTGACTGCTAGGAGTGTAAACCTATTCGTATGGTTTTTCCTATTCGGCTGCTGACAGCATTCATATGGTTTCCTGTTCGGCGGATTGGTGTTCTGCAGTAGCTGTGCCTGCATCTCTGAAAGGGGACGATCGCCTAAACGGTTTTAACCCCTTGTGTGCTGAAACAGTCCGTTACAAGGTTCTTCTACCGAAAGACCTCTAATGTCCTCCATCCTTCTAGCTGAAACTAGGGCTAATAGAAGTAGAGTCTTTTGCGTCAGGGATAACATAGGGATATCATCCAAAGGTTCGAAAGGCTGCTCCATCAAGGCCTGTAGATTCCAGGGACACTTGGAGACCCGGATCGGTGGTCTAATTCTAAGAACTGCTTTCATAAAGCTGATTACCATGGGGTCTTCAGCCCATCTAATACCTGTCATGGCAGAGATAGCAGAACAATGAACCTTGAGGGTGTTCAGACTCAGACCTCTATCCAACCCAGCCTGTAAGAATCCCAAAACCTGGGAAATAGAAGGTGACTTTAAATTCTTCACATCTATATGAAGCCAATCCGCGAAGGCCCACCATATCTTATAGTATGTAGCAGAGGTAGA